TCTAATTACTTCTCTCTGTTTTTCTCTCTATCTCTATTTTCTCTTCATTTAAAAAAGTCACTGATGATGACGAAATAAATAAACTAAAAAAAGGAATTATCAAAGCTTTTTGACACCTGAGAGACACCGTAGCAACTCCTTTGCGTTTGGAAGCAGGGGGTGGGGGTGGGGGGAGGACCAGGGAGGATGATTCAACCACTCAACCACTAGATGTCGCTGAAAACAACAAACCCTACACACTGTGCCGTTAAATTAAGTAAATTGGGGGTGAGGTGGACTAGACGGAAATCACCCGTGGGCCGGATGTGGCCCATGGGCCACCAGTTGAATAGTCCTGCCTTAAACCTACCTATTCCAGTACATCTTAAACCTAGTCTAAACTTAATGCACCTTAGTCCGAGATTGAGCCCCTGACATCCAGAATGACAAGGTTACTGTTGGTGAACATACGATAATAAGTCCTTAAATATAATAAAAACCAGGTCCATGTACGCACCAACAGTCCAGATCCGCCCAGATTATTCTGTTTCATCTCTTTCCTTCCAGAACGGTCCCAGATCAGGCTCACTTCTTGTGCCGAGACTTTGAGAGCGCCGTTCGACTGGCAGCTGAACCTCCCCTCGCAGGTATAATGGAGACCATCTGGGTCCTCGGAGGAACGCAGGTGTACGAGGTAAACCTTGGTCTAACACTTAGGGGTGTAAAGACAGCATGTGTTTTATTGACATTTCAAGTTTTACTGGCACGCAGCAACAGCACAGTCACAAAAAAATAATGTTCTATAAGTTTTGAACACCACCTGTGTGTGCTGTGGAACAGAAATATCCTCAACTGAGCAGCATTTTATTAGTAGTTCCAGCAGTTTAAGCGCCTTTTTCAGGGTAGATTCTTGGCACTACTGAATATTGACACACTTCTAAAATGTCTAAAACTTCACATCACAGGGATCAAATGTAAAAATAAGAAAGTTAGTCCAAAGAATGCATTATTTCATCGTAGATTTAGTTGAACTAAAAGTGTTTTAGTCTGTATGGTTGATAATAGAATCATCAGGTTTAAATGTAATTTTCTATATCAGATTAGTTTAAAGAATGTGCTTTCCTAATTTCATCCATGTTTTCATTTGTTTCACATGATTTAGATAGCATAGCATTTTTTAACATTTAGCTTTTAGCCACTGTTTTGCTGTTTTTTGCAGTTTTGGTTTTAACAATTCAGTTTTTGCTTCTATTATCAAATTTCAGCCTTTTTCAGCAATTACACTACATTTTCACGCAACATCTTTAGCTTCTTTTTGGCCTTGTTTTTTTCAAAGCAGTTTTTGTCTGGTATTTTGAAGAAATATATTTTAAAGGGGGGGAGGGGTGGTTATGCAAAATTAACTTTTTTGAGATTTATATCACGTTTTGTCACTCCCTCATCAAAAACAAACCAAGAGTGTTGCTTTGACTCATTCATGCATGTTTTAGAAATCCTTGAATCGCCTGCAGTAGCCATGTGGAGCTGCCTAAACACTTGCTGGTACAAAGCTCCGCCCATTAGTATAAAGCTCCTCCCTGGAACTCAGTCTGCAGCTGAGCTCCCGCCACACAGAGCACCCCTCCCCCTGAAGCATTGTTGTGAAGATGTGCTGGAGTGGAAGTGTCAGAAATGGTAGGAGGTTCTTAAAGAGACAGAGGCCAATTTCAAGATGTTTAGATCACGTTTATTTTTATTATACAGCTTTTTCACGAACAACTGAAGGTAACATAGTTACTTGATTATGGTTTAGAACTGAACTATGTGCCTGGAAAATACAGGCATATAATACCACTGCTTTAACACAATCCATCAAATCAATTATAAAATATTTCAGTATTTGTCTGAGCATACAGCTGACATTTACATCATACTTTATAATTAAAGAGAATACAAAGAAGAGAGAAAGAGATTTAAGTAGAATGTTGCTCAGGTAAGTCACCTGACGTCATTTCTTGGCTACAGTCAACAGCAGTTCTTGACATTTGAAGCTTCTTTTATTGTTCTTCATACGTTAAAATAAAAAATGAAACTGAGATATCTGTTCTAGTGAAACTGTTTATTTTTGATCTGACATAACTTGGCTAAAATATTATGATCATTGGCCAGATACGAGCCGATGATCAGGGAGCATATCTGGCCCACGGGCCTTGAGTTTGGCAGCTGTAAAATGACTGACATGCTCTTTCTTTTGGCCTAGGATGCRTTGAAACACCCGTGGTGTGACCTGCTCTACCTGACAGACGTGATGGCTGACTTCGACTGTGACGTTTTCTTTCCAGAATTCGACCGGAAGCTGTTTAGATTACAGGACCGGTAAGTTTAGAGGAATTGCTTTCTGATGGTTTCGTCTCCTTGTTTGAACCCGTCGGCTGTTGTGTGAGAATTATTCACCTGAGGGCACAAAGATCCTCTTTTTGTTAGAGAAGCCAACATCAGCAGAGTTGTCAGAGGAAGCTGCTCAAAAGGATCTGCTGACTCAACTAAAGCTTTGAAGAGCATTCATACTGTAGTTAGAATAAAATCTGAATTGTAAATTAGGTGGAGTCTGTTCCTGTTGTTGGAAGCAGTAAATTATCACTTCTAACAAACTACATTTAATTTAAGCTTTAATGTCATTTATTTTGTTTTCACCTTGAAAAACTCAGCATTTTTCATTTGTAATTTTTTCTTATTTTTTTTCTAATAAGATTTCCTGATGTGCCGAGCGACATTCAAGAGGAGAACGGCATCAAGTTTAAATACCAAGTTTTCAAGAAAGAAACTGCTGATGCCGTCTAAATAACAAATTAAAAAACTGCATAATCTGAGGATGTTTAAAAATGGGCAGGATTGTAGAGATTACATTTAAAAACACAAAATGTTTTGTATTTTAAAATATCATTGAAAGGTAAATGATTCTAAAGTAACAATGAAAACTTACAGCCATTTGAAAACAGACATAGTTTTTAAATAAATATGTACAATATGTGTATTTGTATGTATTTTTTTTATCATATTTATGGTCTTTGTCTAGATATAACAATGAGCTCTGGCATTTAGAGAAATCTCCTGCTGCCTTCACTTGTCACCTTAAAGCTTCTCTGTGTTGTTGGGTTTTTTTCCTGCACCTGCACAGAAAATGTTCATCATGTAGTCAGCAGCCAACATCAAGTACAGCCTAAAACCTGGGTTTCACAATAGATGTGCTTCTTTACAAAAGATAAAAAATAAAAAATGCAAATTTTAAAGTTGCTGGTTCATGTTTACATTAGTTTTTATAAAGATATGAAGAAAAGTTCAAGTATGATTTTTTGTGTTTGAAAATGTAAAAAAAACTATTTTGTGTGACACTGCCTCTGAATGCTTTTGTTAACAAATAAATAACCATGCTTTATTGTTATTATCATTTTAAATAAAAATGGTTAATATTTATCATGGTGTAATTGAGGCTTTTTGCCACTAGATGGCGACATCAATCAGAATTTTATCACTTTCTTAGACGATGTTTGAAATTTGGATGTATATTATGAATCAATGAATTAAAAGGCCTAACACTTGGATGTATCAGACCGAATTATTACTAAAAGTTGTGTCTTTTCAGATTTTCTCTCTTTCTTTTCATTTTTTAACAATGTTGAAGACAAGTTTGCAGCTTAAAAGTCTAAAGAGTCAAGTCATTATGTTTTGTTTTTAACATAGAAGACACATGTTTTGAATGGCAAAATTGAGAAATATGTAGACATTTATATGGCTTATACACAAATTTAGAATGTTGAACCAAGCTGTTCCTACTGTTAAGTCCCAGTCTTTTTTATTATTATTTATTTTGGTTTGTGTTTGGAGGGTTGGCTTTGGTGACATTTGGGGGCAACTTTAAGACAAAAATCCTACATTTGGGGACAACTGGTGCATTTGGGGACAGAAGTCGAGTCCACGTTAGGTTTAAATGCCATTGGTGGGTTGGGTTTAGGACCAAGGTGTGAATTGAGTTTAGGTTAGTTTTAGGGTCAGGTAGGTACCTGTGAGGTTAGCCTTASGGTTGGTGGTCAGGGTTAGGCTGTAGAAATGTAGTAGAAGTCAATGGAATGTCCCCAATTGGATAGCTGTGCAAACGTGTGTGTGTGTGTGTGTGTGTGTGTG